GACCCCATCGCAAATATGTCATCTTCATTTTGTCGACACGAGAATTATGCGTGATCTTTTGCTCTCTGGCTCTCTCTCTCTCTCTTCTTCTTCTACTGATGCCATGACATTCATTTTTATGCTGAAGAACACATTGACTGGTATCCGTTAATCTCCAACGTGTACGTCGGCATATAATGTCGATATTATTATAAATCGTAGATATATAAATCATAGATATTAATTAAAAATATTCGTATAATATTGATTTATCTAGATTTCATGGATCAAATAACTTTTTTTTTAATCATCTTTCTTTATCGTTTTAAGGAAAAAAAAAAAAAAGAAAATAGGAAAGAAAAGAAAGAGAGAAAAGCGATTGTTCGTAATCGTTTTATTGATAATCAATCGTTAAATAATTATACGTCTCTTATATTCGTCAATTAGAATTGGAATGATTAATTACGCGATAAAACTATTTGAACATTCGAATTAACCACTACATATAGCACGCGTTAAAGAAAGGGACTACTCGAATATTGTTAATTTTGTAACTTGATTAATTAATTAATTGTTTCTATTGTTTTCTTTTTGTTTCTATTTTTGTTTCTTTTTTCTCTTTGAAGAGGTCGCAAGCGAAGATCTCCAACGGACGACAGTTCCAACAAATTGCGAGAGACTCTACAGATAGACGGACGAGATTCGATTTTTCTCCCGGAAGAGAATAATGAGATTTTATCTCTCCCATTGGTAAGTTTTATCGCTTTCAAAGCAGTCCTTTACATTATACCCATCAATGTTATTCTTTAAATTTATCGGAAAATGATTCGTATAGAAAGGAAGTCGATCATGTATTATTATATTGATAATGGAAGATCGTTAAATCTTCGTAAAGAAACGCAAATCGTTTATATCTGTCGTTAGTATAATTACGAGTTTTTTACGAGATTGCATGCGTAATCGAGCGATAATTAGTAAAAGATGAAAAAAAAAAAAAGAAAAAGAAAAAAAACGAGAAAAGAGAGAGAGAGAGAGAGAGAGAGAGAGAGAGAGAGAGAGAGAGAGAGAAGAATATGATCAAAAATAGAAAAACGATAATTGCACTTTGTTCCATTGAGTCGGAATAGTTAATTTGCGTTCTGGAATTGCAAGTACGATGTAAAATTTTTAGAACGAAGAAAATATATAGAACGCGGAAATGTGTGCTTGCCAATATAGTAAATAAATCGTGTGATCCTCTTCGTCTGAGCTCGTCAATGAAATTATTCTTTTTCCTTCCGAGCCGACGAATAAACAATCGATAAAAAAAAAAAAAAAAAAAAAAAAAAAAAAAAGAAAAAGAAAAAGAGTGAAAAAAAATAAAGTAATAAAATTATCATTTCGCGCTATTCCGAGTCGAAACGAATGATGATGATCGATTCGGACGAACGTTCATTATACGTTTTTTATTTATAGAAGGATGCAAGCGATCGACTAGAGAACGGGGGACAGTATTAGTCTAATTGGATGTTGCAATATCGATTGAAGGAGAAACAAAAATCGAAGCAATCGAGTGTAGCAAGAGAAGAAGGAAAGAAGGAGACGAAGAAGAAAAAAGAAGAAAAAGAAATGAGGAAAATAAGAAAGCTACTAGATCGTGAATCGCCTGAAACAGTATTACGGACCGTTCTCCGTCCGAACTTGATGCACTGAACTCTTTAATAAACTTAGAGCATAAATAATTAGCGACAAAAACGACAAATGTTTAAGTCTTTTCGTGATACTTAATTGTAGTTGATAGTGACACGAGAAATGGATAAACGTGAATGAGTGAAAAAAAGGAAGGAGGAGAACGAGGAGGAGAAGGAGGAGGAGGAGGAGGAAGAAGAATAAAAAGGGAGAAAACCTGAAACAATCGTAACTTCCTAAAAAAAAAAAAAAAAAAAAAAAAAAGAAAAAAAATAAAAGGAAAAAAAAACAAAAAAGAAGAAAAGAAAAAAAGAAAAACTACTATGCTCTTCCTTTTAAGTATTCGACATCTTAACAAAAACAGTATTCGATGCATTCGATATATATAAATATATATATATATGTATGTATGTATGTGTGTATATATATATATATACATTCTTTTTAAGTTATTTATTCTATTTATTGAATGATTTAATGGAATTAAAATGATTATTTATTGTTTGTTATATCATAATCAATTGCAATCTCAATCGATCTCTAGACTCGCTTTAATGTGAACACGTATCATACGACAGCACAAAGGCACGAAAAGATACTTTCTGTGATAAAGATAATGAAGTCAAAATGCGAGGAGTGATAATCACGTGAACGTCTATATAAGATCTAAGAAGAAAGAAAAGAAAAGAAAAAAAAAGAAAAAGAAAAAAAGAAAAAAAGAAAAAAAGAAAAAAAAAAGAAAAGAAAGAAAAAAAGAAAGGAATTATCGTTAATTCATTAAAAAAAACGTTCGTGATTCTTAATATAGTATATACAATGTCGTAATAAAATGTCATTATACCAGTTCGTATAAGCGATAAAGGAGATCAAAGAAATTATTCTTTATTTTAATCACAATTTAATTCACATTCCTTTACATATTTATTTATCTATGTATTTATATATCACCTTCATTGCTCTTACAGTCGTTATTAATTATTGTGCTCTCATTCATAAAGATAAAATTAATTAAAATTACATACGCGCACTTTTCGAGTATATTGATATCATATTATCTCGATGTTATGTACTTTATTCTTACTAAGTAAATTATTTCATTAATTCTTATTATAATATATAAATGGATAATATAAATATAGGTATTGACGTGTTAAATGTACATGCGTGTGTTCGAAGGTTGATTGTTTTAGGAATTCTCTTTAAGGAACATCAGCAAAATTTCGAATGTATTTTATCGAGCGTATTCGGTGTGCTCTTCCCTTTCATCTAATACATATTATTTATTTAAGATACTATATTTATATATATATATATATATATAATAATTTATTTATTTTATTTATTTATTTATTTATTATTTTATGAAACGATCTATACGTAAAGACTACGGCGACTAAGCGTTCCAGTGAATAAATGTATTATCTTATCTATTAAGATTGAAATAATTTATTTGAAAAAAAAAAAAAAAAAAAAAAAAAAAAAAAAAAAAATTAATTATTTTATTTTTCCTTCATGTTTCATGATAGAGCAAAAATAAAAATATAATTGTGTCTATGCATAGCCATAGTTGTATTTTGTATTCTCCTTTATAGCGAAATACACCTTGAATTTCCTATCAAATTAAAAATATACCTTTCAGCTCCCTCTGTGAACGTTATTAAAAAACTATATTCCTTAACCGATAACAAGGAAACTCGTATTATTAATCTTAATTGATTTACTTTATTTTTTATTTGTGTTAAATGAATAGCGAAACCTTTTTTAACGCATTTTCAAAATTGACGTGTAAACATTTATGCATAAAATATAAAGTTCATCGGGCGAAATCATTGATTTTATTATAATTTACTTATAATAATTGATTAATAAGAAAGGTTATCATTGTGTCTGAATTATACATTGATTATATTTTATCAAGGAGCGTAAAAAATGATATACGTAAAAGGAAAGAACTTTTTTAAAACTGAATACCATCGCAAAACGATTCAAAATTTTGCAAAGTTTGTCACAACGACACGACAAAGAATTGGAGAGTGATGAAGGTACAGGTAAGAGAGATAAATAGATAGATAGAGAAAGAGAGAGAGACAGAGAGAAAAAGAGGGAGTAAATAGATCCTGTCTGACTAAAAATGCTTTGAACTACTTGTGAACCAACAAGAAGTAGAGAAAAAGGCGAAGTTCAACCCAAGCCGAATTTGTTTTTTCTTAGGGGAGAAAAAAGAAAAAAGAAAAAAAAAAAAAAAGAAAAAGAAAAAAATAAAGCTATTCCTCACGTATTGTCATTATCAAGAAGAAAATTATCATTTTTAAAGATATTGAAAAAATTTTTCGATAAATATATGATTTCTTATTGCGGAGACTATATAAAAAAAAAAAAAAAAAAGAGAAAAAAAAGAAGACGACGCTGACGAAGTCAAGCAGTCTAATTGTAAGAGGACGAAGATATAAAATGATCAAGAGAGAAACGGTTCGCGTGGCAGATCTTACATTTCGCAATTATAAACTGCGCAATAAGTTCTCTCTCTCTCTCTCTCTCTCTCTCTCTCTCTCTCTCTCTCTCTCTCTCTGTCTCTCTCTTTCTCTCTCTATGTTTCTTTAGTTCTCTCTCTTTCTCATTTGAACGTAACATATATCATGATGGACCACTCCCTTACACAATCTTTTATTTCCGTTTGGAGATCGCCTGTTACTATCAAACAGAAAGACTTTTCGGTTTATTTGATATTGCGCAGGTTTATCATAATAAAACAACAACTTTCGTTATATAGTCCATTGTGAAATTTTCACGTATATATCTACCACGCCTTCTTCTCTCAATACGTCATTTCATATTATTTCTTATTATTTTCATATATACGTAATACGTATAATGATATATGTGATCTACTTGCTTTTCTTTAGACAGTCAAAATGGCTACCTTCAAATTGGTAGTAAAGCCTTTATGATTAGACTTATAGAAATTAATTATAATGAATTGGATATATCTGAAGGATAAATAAAAATAATCAGAAATTATTTATACGAAGGAAGGCTGAATGAAGGATTAATTTTAAAAGTCCTTAATCTTTTAATTAAAAAATTATTTATTGAGGGAAAGCTTAAAAACGCTTATAAAAAATCTGTTTAAGAAGATCGATTTATCATCACACACACACATATATATATTATATATATATACACACATATATATTATATATATATACATATATATATATATATATATATATATATATAGAGAGAGAGAGAGAGAGAGAGAGAGAGAAGGAGAGAGAAAAAGAGAAGAGGCACGCGTCCAGTGAAATACATATATATGAGTGATATAAGACATCTTAGGAAAATGTCAATGGAGGGGATATATACATATTGTCGATAATATATACACACTGCCGAGGATGTCCGCTTTATGTTACAGTTTGACTTAAGACGAAATCGGTTCAGCTTCGAACTTTGTGTCAGTTTAAACCGCGAGTATTAGAGTTGCAAGATTTTTATAAAGTTTTGCTTTTTTATACTGTATATATATATATATATATATATATATTATATTTGTATACATATATATATATTTAGTTTTTACATATTTTAATCGTAAATTACCAAACGTAAAAAGAAAAAAAAAGAAAAAAACACGATGGTCGCTATAAGAATCTCTATCTTCGTTTTATCATTGGTCCTCTTCGAAGCTGTTAACGGCGAACGAATCAGGTAGATTTTTTATTAATTTCTATTATATAACCCTTATTATACCCCTTACAAATGCAACATTATACAACCCCTTTAAAAATACTAAAATTATAAAAATACTAAAAATAATATTATATAAAATACTAAAAATATTAAAAATAATATCCTTACGTAAGAAAAAAAAAAAGAGATAAAGGATATTTTTAATATTCGATAATTTGTAACTATCGAATATAAATCGAATATAATATAAATTATCGAAGCCTTAAAAATAAATTCTGTCTTCGTGACTAGATATTGCATTTAGATCAAGTTTATTACACAAAACTTGCAAAAGTTACATCAGAATGTTATCTCACTTTTCTGTCCCTCATGAATATTTAATTGAAATTCATTAAATATATCAGAAGCCGTAAGACGACATATCTTTGTTAACTAACATTTTTTTCTTTTTTTTTTTTTTTTTTTTTTTCTTATTCGTATTCTCGATAGAATTGCGGATTATAAAGAAAACGACTCGAACATCGAAATGTTGCTAGCTAAAGGGGAAAATGAAAGATCGAATTTACTATTGAAGTAAGTATAATATATCTACATATCATACTATTTTAATCCTATGATAGTCGTAATCGTGCGATATTCTTTTTCTTTTGGAAGAATATACAATTGAAAATTAATTTATAAAAAAGAATAATCAATGACAGAAAGACAAAAAAAAAAAAAAGAAAAAAGAAAAATCTCTGAAGTTTCATTAATGATTACAGACGTCTAAAACGCGTGTCCGATCAGAGATTGGCGGAGCTCGAGACACTTTATACCCTTAATAAAATAAATATCGTAACTTCGACTGGCCGATCTGCTTATATTAAAATAAATCCGGAATTGATGTAAGCATCTTTTACGGATATAAAAATTACTATTCATGTAATTACATTAGCATCGTTATAAATAATTTATTTGGGATACGTTGCAGAGGACGACGAAAACGAAGTACTCGTGAGAATCTTTACGAAACAAAAAGAATCGGTCGACGTACAAGCGAATCGATCAAAGATGAAATCCTCATTAGGTATATATATATATTTTTTTTGTAAAATATATACAAATCTTCTATATATTTCAATTAAACGAAAAAAAAAAAGAAAAAAAGAAACCCGCCGAATATTCGAGAATTTTCATGAATTGGATTATAAGAAATCGAAATAAATGAATATGCATTTGATTACGAATATTAAAGCTTAAATAATCGCCAAGTTCTACCTAATTTCAAGGAGTTTACGCTTCCCAGATAAGAACGCAATTACGTACGTCGTAAATTTGATATATACATATATATATATATACGACTCGTGATGCAACCCAATCAGTGTATCTCCATTGATAATTCTCGATTACTGACTAGAACGATTCATATTCTTATGAACATTATCTGAGAGATGTTTCAATACCGATTAATATCATTAACATTTTATCTTATATCATTATCATTTGAATTAAGATTTGTAATCTCCATCTTCAAAGTATAAATTTGTATTTATGTGTATGTATGCATATACATATGTACTTATGCTTTCGCACATTTAGTTATCATATTAGTATATCATATCATATATTATGTATATATGCGTGTGTATACATATATATATGATACATGTACATATATATATATATATATATATATATATATACACATATATATGAATCGCTAAAACATATTTCTAAATTATAATATTTCTTAATTTTATTTACAGATGATTTCATTTTGCAATTGAGGGACACTGAGAGAAATTGAGGAAAGGGACACTCCTCGATAGAATAAAAGGAATATATATATATATATATATTTTTATAGAATCGTCGGAAACGATCTATAATTATCTAACAGCGGTATTAAATTTGGGACACCTGTGTTAAGGATCGAAGGGACACTTTTTTTATATAATTTTTATAAAAAAAGAACGCTTTACTAATTTATTTATTATCTGCGAACTAATATTCATCCAAAAATCACCTCACCCCCATTTTCCCCGCTCCTTAACCCCCACCCTCTTTCTTCTACAGTATTTATAATAAATAACATAATTAAGTAATCCAAAGGAGAATTTGTAAAAGGAGCAAATTTTTCGATAAGCACTTGTTGAATGTAAGAACGAATGAAATGTAAATAAAAAGAAAAAGCTTAATGTAACGTTAAAATTGTATCTAATTAACATCTTAAATTAAATGATTATCATTAAACGAACTTTAATATAAAATTAATATATTTATATATTTAATATAAAACTCACCAAAAAGTATGTGATATCAAGTGATATCAAGTATATCCATCCACGATGGAAAATTTGAAATTCGTACCGTGAGAAATGGCGGACACATTTTTCGCGCGAAATATTTCCTTCGGAATTTGAACCATCGGATGACAAAATGGTGAAGGCGTTGATTTCTTCAATTGATTCCTTCTTTTCTTTATCCTCCATAGTCTTTGACACTTTAGGGTTATGCGTATAATTATCAGATCGATTGTATAAAAATGAATAAAAATATTGACAAGAACGATTGACATTCTTTTCATATGAAAAATTAACATTAAAGTTTGAGATAAAGGTTACCGTGTTTAATGCGCGTTCACTCGAATGATTTTTATGATAATTAAACGAATAATAAAACAAACGTTTCGAACTTGTACATTTCAATGAGTACATTCTTATTATTCAATTGATACGTTTTAAAACAATCAAAATATTTGTACGAACAAACGAAAATGATTAATATATAAATAATAATATTGAAATCTATTTTGGAATTGGCGAATGTGATAATAAAAATACGTCGTAATTTTAGGATGACGCGCTCGCACGATAGAGCGCCATCATGCGAAGAAAGAGTGGAAGCGTCGATTCGAGTCCTCTCGATAACTCTCGATATCTCGTCTGGTCGTCGCGAGAGAGAGTAAAATCGTACATATACATATATCGCGATATCGATCGAACGGACTACCGTGTGTGACAAGTCGCGCCGCGCCGCGCCATGGTAGCAGCTTTGAGGATGGACGGTAGTGGTGCGTACACCGTTGGAATCTAAAAGAAAATTTTTGGCCGAAGGGCTATTTAAGATGCGCGAGTGCGGGAACTCGAGAACTCTCGGGTTTGCCTCGGGGATGGTTCCGCGAATAAAAAGTACAAGGGACGTGGGAGAGGCGCGAAAATACAATCGAGTGGCTTAGCTATCGTCGTTTACTCACGGAAAGCGAGAAAAAGAGAGCTATAGAAAGGACGAAAGCGAGAGAGAGAGAGAGAGAGAGAGAGTGAACGAGAGAGAGAGAAAGAGAGAGAAAGACAGCGAGAGAGAGAGAGAGAGAGAGAAAGAGAGAGAAAGACAGCGAGAGAGAGAGAGAGAGAGAGAGAGATAGAATAAACGAGAGAGGGAGAGAAAGAGAGGTATGATGTCTGCGCCCTGAGGAACGGACAGACGGACAGACGGACGTTTATGTCAAGTTTTTGTGCCTCTTGACGATGTTCTTTATAAATTCGGAGAACTCTCCGGAGCGTGTTCTTTAAGGTGGTGATGTGATTGTAATTCTCGTTCGGATGCCGTTGATAGCTTCTGTCCTAACAGAACGGTGAAATGTTTTCATCGCCGGCGTCGGTGGTGGGCGAGCCGTCAGGCTACGACTTTCTGAAGGAGGAGAACGCCGCCAAGTGGAAGGGAGTGTTTGTCAATTCCCTTAGAAAGGTAAATTCTTTTTTTCGTTCTCGAAGCACCTCAAAACGAACGATTACATTGGCCTTTATTTCTCCTTTCCTAAACGAATAATGTTTCCAAGACGATCGATCGATCGAGCCACCCTTCCTCTCTCTCTCTCTCTTTCTTTCTTTCTCTCTCTTTCTTTCTCTCTCTCTCTCTCTCTCTCTCTCTATCTCTCTCTCTCTCTACGATGTTTAAATGCTCGTAGTACTTTTCTTCCGCGTTCGATCGAATCTACAGATTCTTAACGGCAAATTCCTCGATCAAACTTAATGTCGAATGTAATTTCATTACGCAATACATCCTTGTAATATCTCTTAAGGAAAAATGAAGGTGTCAATTAGAAATACGCAATAAAAATTTTAATGCTATCCTAAGTTGAAACGATATTCAACGATATTAATGGTTTAATGTTTGATTAAAGAGTTATTAAATTTCTTTGACAATTTTCTTTTCATCAAAGATATCCTGAAAATTTGATTATTCAAATGAAATTCTTGAATGAAGCATATGTCAATGTCGTGTTGTTATTATTTTGATAGGTCTTGGAACAAGTACATCCTAGTCTTGAAGCACGCCAAGATGCCTTAGACTATGTTGAAAGTTTAATTTTAAAAATGCTGGGCATGCTTTGTGGTCATCCACCTCCGCACACTCCACAAGATGTAGAAGAAAGAGTAAGAAGGACATTTCCGACTCCCATTGACAGATGGGCATTGCGAGATGCTAAGGATGCCTTAGAAAAAGGAAAAAAGAAGTCACCATTAGTTCTTCCTGTTGATAAAATTCATCAACTGCTACAAAAAGTAAGCAGCAATATGAATATAGGTTTATAGACCCTTTTCTATGCATAATTCGTGAACAACAAAGGAAGATGTATTCATACCCACATTAGTTCTTTAATATGCATTTGTAGGAAGTCTTGCAGCACAAAATTGACTTACAAGTCAGTCTTTTTGTGGTAGGAGTTTTGGAATATATCTCAGCAGATATTTTAAAGGTTGGTATAACTGTTACAAATTACAATCATAGTTTCAAATTATAATATATAGGTATTGGAGATACTTCAGATTCTTTTATTTTCAGTTAGCTGGAAATTATGTTAAGAATATACGTCATGTGGAAATCTCTTGCGAAGATATAAGAGTTGCAATGTATGCAGACATGGTAATATATCATTTTTCAAGAAATACTTAAGCCTGCATTGTCCTTCTGTCCATGCACATATTTATTAACATACATTATATATTTTGCTACGCTAAAACAAATTCGCGTATGCATAATTTTTATCATTATCGTACAAGCTTTCTCATATTAAATGCCACAGCCTTGTGAACAGATATATACCAAAAATAATTCAGTATAGTTTCAAAGAAATACTTTTTTGCATCATACTTAATTAAAACTATGCACACAGCTATGTATTCATTCACAATTTAGTATTGTAGGCTATATATTTCATTTATATTGCCTGCCTTTTAATTCATTCTTACATATTATTCTTGAAATTGATAGAAAATTTCTTAATTTTTTTTAGAAATTCATTTAATCAAAGCAATAATAGAACAGCATAATGTTCCTAGTAATAGTGGTTATAAAAATTATTAATTAATTTATTAATTAAATAATTTTTTCGAATATTCATAAGGAATTTATACGAAATTCTATTACTAGCAATAATTGAAATAATATTTATTGCATTGATTAAATCTAAGATTTTTTATTGGATACGATTGAATAGTCACAGATTTATTGTGGCTGCATATCTTCTTTGCTTGATTACATGCTTACCACTAACATATAACAAAATCAACGGTGTTCATTCTTCGCTCATGCTGTTCTAGGTGGTACGTACCTGCAATCCTTTAGCAAAAAAAAAATATATGAGAAGTGTTTTATGTATCGTACCATTTATAAGAAATTTCTATTTGCTTTATATATTTTTGTTTTTTTGCTTCTGAAACTGAATTATTCAAAATAATATTCTAATTTTCTTTTTTTTTTCTCTCTTTTTTTTTTACAGTAGGTTTGCTCACATTCTTTTCATTTTAAAAATGATATTACATAGTATATGTGATCTTTTATTTTTATTTAATATCTCTTAGCCAATGAAAAATGTACACTTTATAACATATCAAATATATTAAGTATAATCATGGAATATTTATTGACTTTTTACAATGTGATTATTACAGCAATAATATTTTATGTAGAATCTGTAAAATCATTGTAAATTTTATGCATATATTGATTTATGATAATTATGAGTACGATTAACAAAAATATGTATGCATGAAATATAATGTAAACGTACTTAAAGTAGATTTTTGAAACATAGAGCTTTTTTTATTAAGGAACAATAGCATGAATTATTTCTACATATATATACGATATAATTTTTTATTATTTTTTTTTTTTTTTATTTTTATTTTTTTTTTATTTTTTTTTTTTTTGTGCGAAATCTACACAAAGTTAAGCATAATATTTGTGATCTTGATATATACTTATAATATCACTACTTTACGTAAAATATTATCTTTGATAATAAAATATATATGTGTGCATTATAGAATACTGTATTTATCATTATATTAGAAAATATTTTATATTATATTATGAAATCTTCAAAATTGATAAAGTACAATTAAAATTTAGATAATATTATAAAAATATAAAGAAATATTTTTTTATTGACAGGTACTGATGGATATGTTCTTCCAAGATGATTGCTCGGAAAGTCCGCAAAGCGGATTAGGTGCAGTAGTATCTCAAACGTATGAAGAATCTGTCAGAGACCTTATACATGATGAACGTCATTATTTGCGTGATCTTCATATGATTATAAAGGTATAATAAAGTCAAAATTTATTCTGATTACTTGTTAATTAAAGATGATATAATAATAAAGTTTGTTTCATATAGGTATTTCGGGAAGAAATTGCCAAGCTTGCACAAGATAAAAGTGAACTTGAAACGCTTTTTAGTAATATTATGGATATATATGAAGTCACTGTTACATTACTTGGTAGTTTAGAAGATATAATGGAAATTACAGAAGAAAAACAAACTCCTACAGTTGGATCATGTTTTGAAGAGTTGGCTGAAGCTGCTGAGTTTGATGTGTATATAAAGTATGTTGTTTATCTATTAATTAGTGCACGATATACTATCATATTTTATTTTCTTTTTTTTTTCTATAGGTACGCGAAAGATGTTAATAGTTCGGCTAGTAAAGAAGTTTTAATAAATTTATTATCAAGACCAGAAGCTAATGCAGCATTAAGAGCAGCAGGGCATGGATTTAAAGAAGCTGTTAAATACTATTTGCCAAAACTTTTATTGCAACCTGTGTGGCATTGTTTTTTGTACTTTGATTATATAAAGGTATATTTTTTAAATTAATAAATTATTTTTTTATATTATTAATATTGATCAATTTATTGCGTATGGTT